CAGCGAACTCGTTTTTCGGGTTATATGAGGTGGCAACAATCCTCATTGTTGGGTATTCATCTGAAGAGATTGGAGATTACAAATTCCGTCCCGCGTTATAGATGGAATTTCCCACGATGACACGGATCGCACCGCCGTCATTTCCTGCTTTTCCATTGCTTAGCGCTATTTCTGTCCTAAGCATCAGCGAAAGTCTAAAACTATTCTGAGTCAGCCTTCACTCAACTATCCTATCGCTTTAGCTTGCCTCTTATCGCCGCGGCACGCGTGACAAATTTACAGTGGCAGCTCAAAGCACCCACTGCCCGAACTCCTTCTGCCCTCCTGGGTAAAAGTTAGCATCCTCGATCCTTCTAAGGCTTTATTCCAGGACATTTCTAGGATATAGGCAATACACAGGTGCACCTGCGTATTGATCGCCATACAAATACCTGCATATAACCAGCGTATTGCGAAACGCGCAGCCGCTCTGAGTCAACCAGGCTGGTCCTCGCGCTCAGCTGCCGCCATCTGTGCATATTATGTGTGTCATCCAGCTCTAATGTCACTTTTTACAGCTAACTGTCGAAAAACTTATTGACAGATCATGAATGAACTCTTGATTATAACTAACCTCATATTCTTTTTGTTTACTTAGCTTTTGTCACTTTTAGAAAGAGGTGTTTGTTGTTTTTTTTCTTTATTCCTTTATCACGGTTGTTCTTCCATTTTTTGCGGCATAAAGAATAACCAGTTGAAGGATTTCGTGTGGCTGTAACCACGGCAACAAAACAATATTTTTTGCGCTATTCAATTCGAAAACAGAGGATTTAGACTTTTACACATAAATGTAGAAACAGTTCATCAGTTTGCTGGAAATTGAACGATATATACATATTTTTTATAGGGAGGAGAAACCACAGTCTTTTCTTTTGTGATGTTTGATAAAAATATCTTCTATGTTATCATGTTTCATAATGACATCCCCTTTCTATCTACACTACAAATCTGTTGTTCTCAGTAATCATTATCATACACTTGTTATTATTCAAACTGTTATTCCAGCATCTGTTCATTTCTATATTTAAGGATCAAAAGTTCAGCTATAATATGTCCTCATTTCATGGCCTATTTCTGCCTTATGAAGTCTATATTTGATGAAACATCT